AATGCCAGTAGCCAGTGAGATGTGGTCAATTTATGCGAGGGCTTAATCAACCCCAGTTCCGATTCCGCAGGAACTGTTCAACATCATGCCCCAAAGGCCTGAAACAGATGCCATTTTTGGAGCCACACAAATGGAGGAAAAATATCGAGAAGATTTCTCAATCTCTAATGAAGACGATTGGCCATCCACTTTTGCCACTCCGCCCTAGAACGACATGAGAACAGGGCAATCCAAATCAACTTATCTCTCTGATCGAAGTTGCCTATGATAGGTTCAAGGCAGTAAGACGCACTCGTCCGGCTCAGAAGAAGCAAGAACGTAGCGATTGGGGCTTACCGAGGATCAGCTTCCTTTTTTGCCTGCAGTGTATGTCACTACAGAAGATCTCATGCATGAGTCACTCATATTCTACGTTGACGACACCGCTCTGAGTGAGAACAGTAGAATTCTTGGACAGCCTGCAGAGATGGCAGGAAGTGCTGGTAAAGAAAGGATCGGGCAAAACGGAAAGAATTTCCTCAGCCTGGAGGAGGGCGCAAAACCATCGTAGACCACGCTGGAAATGCCATCCGAAGAACCAGGACTTCCGATACGTGGGGATGACATTGCTGCTAAAGACTGTAAGGACGGGCCAATAAAGAACTGGATAATTCCGGAGTGGACGAGATGGAGGGAGAAAAAGCTGCTAGTATCCTTCTTGATTGAAAGTATTACAGGATGTTTGATGGAAGGATGTGTACAAGAGTAGAGTGGTAGTGAGGCTCACGATATTCTACGGTTTTAGCGCTAGCTCGTGAGTATTAATCATGAAAAACAACATCTTACTGCAATTGAAATGTTCAGATGGGCGGTGAAGGCATCAGGACCGAGTGAGAAATGTGGAGACCAGGAATCGTGTAAACAGCCTCTGAACAGCTAAGGATGTGGAAGCAATTCTTGTGATGGTATAGGCTCGTGCTAGGAAGTCCACAAGGCTATCCGGTTAAGAGACAATTTATCCCGAATCTGCAAGAAGGCTACTGCGTGGAGCCCCAGGAAAGAGATGAAAGGACCTTATTAATAAGTACCTCAACGGAACTTCGCTAATGTTAGGAGAAGTCGAAGCTAGAAGATGGCGACAATCTATCAGAGCAGTGGACCCTGCGACTTAGCGGGACAAACACTAGAGAGATAACGAGGCATTTTTTAAACACATCTTTATGAACTACTGAGTAGTTGGATAGAGTTGTTGGAAAGATGAAGTCTAGTTCATGGTAGCTAGAGAGGCTTTAATGTCTGATTTGAAAGCTGTTTGATGTTTGACATGACTTTTAGCCCATTCTAATAGTACATTAATTATTATATTACAATTATGTTCTTATGTGTGTGTGTTTTCACGTACGCTTGAACGCAAAAGTGTAGTAATAGAGCATGAATCCAAGATATACACCCAGATTACCCAGATGGTTGGCAAATTTTGGACAAAACTAGAAGTGACCTCAGCAGGTGTATCATCTCTCCACGTTGAAATATGTATATGATCAGTTCTCAGTTAGAAAGTTTTTTTTTGCTTGAAGCGTATCTAATGACCAAAAAAATGGACCACTCCTAGGCAACGGCCCTCCCTGTCCTTATCCGACACCTAGACATTTGATGAGTTCTTGTGAAAATGCACGATGGTGTCATTATCGACACTGTTTCCATTGCCGGTACAATTCATTATCCCACACTGCCCAAACTCGTCATCATGGTTGCAGAAGAAACCACTCAAAAATTAAAAAGAAACATCAGCATCCGGAACCAACATGGCATTTCAAACCGAAGCATCGAGGCCAGCCGCCTGAATTCATTATGAGCTGGATCTACATCCGCATGACACGGACTCCTCCACCTGCGATGTATTAAAAAGGAGGAACGGGCACAACGAAAGTTCGAGATGGTGTCCACAGCAGTCACTCTGCCCACGAAGAGCGGATTGTGAAATCAAGCATTGAACGATGGAGCGTAGAAACTGGACCAGTGAGAAACTTGCCCGCGAGAACGGTATTTCTGCTGAGACCGTTGAGCAATTGTGAATTTGAAGACTTGAAAACGGTCAGAGAGAGGGATGTCTTTAGAGAAAGTAATTTCTCAAAGTAACCACGACTTGTTAAGATGCGAGCAGAACTGTTTTGGTCAACCAAGGTCAGGTCTCGGTGGCAATCGCTTTGACAATGTCTTTTGCCGAAGCAGTTGAAGCAATGGAGCTGTTTGGTGTTTAGATATTACCTGTATGTGCAGATGGCCGACTTACAATCCTACCCTACTTGGCCAAACATTAGAATATGACTAGCTTATCTCTTTTGTTGCTCAATGTATCAGAGAAAAAACGAAAAACTTTCGAGTGAAAGACCTGATATTCCATGAGCGCGACCTACCTTGAATCACTCACTAACTGTGATCTGTTAAGGGTATGTCTTCAGAAACTAGCCTTCAACCTTAATGGCTAACCAGGCTGAAAACTACTGGGCCTGCTTTGTCGTGACAGCAGAGTTGTCCCACGTTGAAAAGCAAGCTCAGCAGTTCTTGTAAAACCGATCGTGCCCTGAAAAGTGTGCAACGATTATAGAAACGTCTCTCATGCTATGTGTCACGGAGATCAAGCCTAGAGTTGATAATTTTCCCGAAACAAGATCTTTTTTAGAGAACTGCAACAAAGTAGAACAAATTTCTTTCGTTTACTCTCAAACTATTTGAGAGAGGATTTATGTAGACGACGGTGGCGATGAGATCGACTGACCCGTGTCGACTCGAAGAAGATTAAACGACGACGGATTAGACGCACTGTTCCGATGTTTGCCCACCGACTGCAGCGACTTCTGCAGGCGCAACGAGTGCAAGAAAATTCCACACTGCAATCACCGTTTCTCGCTCCTTCATCCATGATCATCTTTCGCTTGCCAGCTTTCCTGAGCGCTTTTTCTGGATCTTTGGTTCGACCTTTCTCTTTGTCTTTTTTTATCATCTTAGCCACAACAGGAACTCGGATCAGGATGAAATCCGAACACCCACAACCATATCTGAAATTTACTACGGTATTCGTTAATTCGAAGTATGTAAGTTAAACTTTCGAACGAGATACTTAATAGGTTGATGCATAATTATTGCGGATTTTCTCGCAGCTTCTTTTTTCTCGATAGAATTTGAATACCGAGTCCGGGATTTTAGAAAAAGAACCTTTTCGGTCTCCTCCATAGAACTGTGTCCAAAAAGTCAATTTCATATTCGCCACATAATATCACTTCGAGAAAGGTTGAAAGGTGGCAGGGTCATTAAGCGATCTCAACGAGCTTTTCGGCGATGGAGCAGTCAGCCAAAGATAGGAAGAGAATGGAATCTGCTCCCACATCCGTCCTACTCGCTAACACAAACTCCTGTGAATTATCGCGTCAACCGTCCGATGTGAAATTGGCTAGAGAACGGAACTCACGACGAAATGATGACTATATGTCCGATGTCAAAGCATGGATCACCTCCAAGGACCGAAACTTCTTCACCTGTGAAAGCCGACTGCCTAGCAAATGGGAAGCACTGCTCGACGTAGACAGTGGATATGTTATGTAGAAGTTATTTGAACATGTTTTTGTTGGATATTTTTATCGTTTGTTAGATAAAATTTGTTTAAAAAAATCCGCAATATGTATCCACAAACAACCTGATAGTTGTGGGGTATTTCTAAGAAAACTGGGTTTGAGGAGTCGCCAATAGAAATCCTCTGGGGGTTTGCCAGTAGAAATCCTCTGCGAATTTCTGTTCCCTCGATGCATCAGCTCTTAATCACTAATGCTCTCCTTCTAAAGTTCCAAACTAGCGATCACCTTTGTTATTAAGTTCCAAATCTAGTAAAAGCTCTAGGAATGTCAGATGGCGAAACAGTTTTATACGTGTAATCTCACACGGTGGTCAGAGTAACTGTGCCTTCTCTCAAAGATCTGAAAAGGAGTGAAGTTGACTAACAGCGCTTTCGTTTACAAAATATCTCGAGCGTAAGGTACACCGAGGCACAAAAATATGCGCAACAAACAATTGAAAAATACAGATAATGCATTGTACATTTCGTCGTACGTTACATACATTTATTACAGCTGCTTTTGTGTAAAATGATAAAACCGGAAGAAAACTAAGTAATAGATTCGTCGTTTTTGCTGCAACTCCAGGCGCTAACGCGAGGTATGAACGTAACCGTGGCGTCAAAACCTGAATTTCTTTCAATTAAGGCTTTCACATAGAGGAGAATATCCTATTTCCATGAGCATCCGTTACATCGGGCGGATATGGTATGGTGGCGAGTGGTGCACTACCACACAGGCATGGTTGGAGAACAAATCTATGATCCATACTCGCTCAGGCCAACAGAATCACTCATTTCTCCGGGGTTGGTTAATTAGAACCAAACTCATACAGAAGGACTGAAGCACTGACCTGTACACCGGCTGGCCAAGTTAATGTATGGGCGACACATTAAAACGCCACTGAAAAGAAATCGAACTTTGGTTTACCTCAAACAACTGGTTAATGCCATGAACTCAATCCTTTATTTTATATCCACCACTTCAGTTCTTCCACAAAAGCATAGCATGACATCGTCATCATTGGCCTGCCGCTTGTTTTCGCAATTACGAATAGCTGCAGTAGCTCTTCCCGATCGTCGGGATCGATTTCCTGACGCGCTTAGCGGCGGATGTTTTATTCAAAATAGCGAGGTCATGCTCCGTAATTGGAGCGCAAATGCAGCAAAACGCCACTGATGCCGCCATAAACGAGAAGCCCTAACAACAGCGACAGCAACCAAAGCATGGGCAAGTCCTCTTTGAAGCTACTGGTCCCTTTTTGATCACGCCCACATAAAACATACTGCTTTTCATGCCTATCTGAAAATGTCGTTTCTCGTTCCCCACTTCACAGATTCACTACCATCCCTGTGTCTGAGTGACCTCCGATTCCGACCCATTAATGGTCAGAAAATGCATTTCAGTGTTTCCGTAAGTGCCACTCGAAACCCTATTCCCAGTGCTACTCACATCTGTCATTTGACGGGGTGCGTGCTCGGTTGTAATAGTACTGTAACTTGAGCTGGTTGGCTCTCAAAGGTGTTAATCCATATTGTAATCCTCCTGTCGTCGTGCCATACGATATCTGACGGGGAATTAGTGGGTAATCAAAAGTGGTACTGAATAGGCGTTCCTGGCTACGGAGACTATGCAGATGAGATTACAGCTTTAAGAAAAATCCACTCAACGATATGTTCCCCCGGTAGTTTATATCTAATTGAGGTTTGAATTGCGAATATCAGGGTAGAACATTATGAACAAGCTTAGCTAACCCACCTCTGATTCGTCTCTCATCGTCACGGTGAAACTAGCATCATCTTAGGAATGGTTTCTGCCACTACTCTCGGGCTGTTCAGTTATGTAGTGTGTCAATTTAACTTTCGTATTCTCGCAAGCGCACGTTTTCCCATTTGGTCGACTTGAGTCACCATCGTCGATAAATCAGTCTCGAATATCACTAACAAACTTACAACATAAAGTCTAAAAGTCTTTTGACGTTAGTCAATCCCGTCTGAGGGATGTGCCCCTCATTCGACTTCCATTCAGAATCGTGTTGGCAGATGAATACGTATGAGACCTATACAATGAATTGCGGCGTCCAGCCGATGTACAAGTCAATGCATTTAACCTCCCAGACGAGTCTGGTACCAATTAACGACTCCGGAGGGATGGAAGACTTGGTTGTTCTAGGCGGAAATCCCGCGATAATCCCGCGCGCGATGTGCGATATAATGGCGCTACTTACCACTACACCATCAAAACTTACAACTTACCACAATGTCATTATGCTGAGCATGGAGCTCTGTTGTTTGGCAACATAAATGAAAGTGTCAGCGCCTATATAAGTTATGTAGGAGTCATTTCGAAAACTGACTGTCCCAGATTGAAGTTCCTACTACATTTAAGAGTACCATTCGTCGAGTTCGTCTGAATTTCTCTTAATGACTCTGATATGTATGCGGACAACGTTATTATACTACGCGGTAATTGATGGCAAACAGCAGTAGTAAATAATAGTCAAATGAATTCACTTTGCCATGAATTCCATGTGTGTTCTTTACTCACCACTTTTGCTCTTATGATTCACCCCTATCGATGGATATTCAAGAACGGTATCGCTTAATGGGTACGGCCCGGGAAAGGTACCAACAGCTCAGTGCACGTGCAGACTTATGTGGTCGTAAGTGTCCTAAGAATAGCTCCACCTGCTACTGTAACAGGGACCAAGCGAAGGAATGGCTTAGCAGCTGATCACCTCAGTTCCTATTTCCTCGAAAGTGTCGCCTCAATGACCTGAGCTGGTGGTAGGGATGAGCGCTGCATGGCGTAGCAGGGATCGGTCAAGGCCTTCACGCCTCCTAATTGCTAGTCACGAATGTTTTCGATGATGTAGAACACTAAAGATAAGGGATCTAGTAGTGAGTGACAGTCCTAGCGCCTTCTTGATCCTAACCAAGTCACAGGGTAAAACCACGCCTTCATATCGAATCTATTCTGAGGTGTTTATTGTTCTCCTAAAATCTATGCGGACCATCTGTGTCGAGAGGTACTTCACTATGTCGTCCTCTTTTCTTCATAACTCATCCGCTGTCCGATGGAGCAGCTGCCCTGAATCGCGCCTTTCTTCTGCACCCTTTCCCGTGTCCCACCCTGCCAACCTCACTGCTACTATCCTTCCGCTAATTACGACCTCTCTTTCCATTTATTAGTGTGCGTGGGCATCTCTTCACCTGCAACCCACCTAATTATGGTCCACAGCCTGTTTGTGTTTCCGTCAACATCTCAGGACCCCATAAAGCCCTGCGACAGTCTGACCTCGTCCTCAGTTGATTTTGAATCACAACAACTTGACTGGTTTCGTTTTGAGTGAGCCATCACCACCATCCCACTCACGCAATGAATCACTAATTGTTTTGAGATGCTGTGCATCCCTTTCAATTCTAAGAGCTGGCCATGCCTTTGATGTCCCTGTCAAGGACCGCCGGTTAGGTGCTTGTGACAGTGAAAAACAGCCCCATTAGCAGGTTGTCGATGCATTCCCAATTCATCATGTATTACGGCAATTCATGGCTCCGTTTACGAGTCATGAATTTGCCTCCGATAATTCGTATTAAAAACTTCGCCTACTCCCGCTACGGCTGTCAGAAGCTGCCTATCTCCGTTTGCTCTACTTTTCCACAACGATTAACCTATAGCTTTTCAGTATCACGTATTGTAAAGGGTTGTTGATTTACAAAAACTAAGCATGAAAAGGGGCTGGACTCTCTAAGTTTCTGTTTTTTCCTTTATATGATAACGGATAGAATTCTTTGTTTGTTTGAGAAAAAGAAGGCAATTACGGTCAATCCCATCGCTCGACATGATATTGACGGGTGTTCACTTCGAAAACATTCTTAAAGGAGGATATCAAACACATCCAAGATTTTTCGAACTGTACTGGGAAAGCTCTCAGGGGAGAAGTTCTGGATTGAAACCACGTGGAGCATTAGGCTAGTAAATCTAACAAAATTACCTTACAGCGCTTTGGAAACCCAATTACACCTTGACCAAGATGAGTCAAGTGGAAAATTCAGGAGCTGCTGAATGCTTATGAACCTCGCCTTCATTAATAGGAGCCCACTTCCTTCCGATCAACATTCTCATCTTGCGTTCGGGCTCATGCCCCCCCCCCTCCCCCTACATTAGTCAGCTCTATTTATGTTCTGATTCAAGGCAACATCAAGTTACTTACGCAACCCCTTTCCTCAGAGTAGCAAAGATTACAAAAACAAGCTTTTTTGCAAGCTTCTATGAATTTCCGTTATTCCCCTCAATTTGGTTCCATTCTGAGACCACAAAGCTCTCCCACTTTCCGAGTTGCCCTTTGTTTTTACCATAGTAGCTTTCATGGAAGTCACCGATGAATCCCACAGCG